TCACATGACCTTGTGTGTGTGTAGATGATTTGTGATCCTAACAAGTATGTATGTAAATGTGGCCTGCTGGTATTTATAGGCAACATGGTTTTCAACAGATTAGCTCATGCCAACATATATTTGCTTATCACAAGTAATCCTATGTCCATTGTAGGTTTTCTAACAGGTGTACAACTACGTTGGTCGATCCTTCTATTCAGATATCTTACTTCTTCTTCCAATAACTGGAATACCCGATACCAAAAATGGAAACAATTGTTTATGTTTCTGTATGTATGTATAAAATGAAATGGCAGCAGCATATGTTTCTGTGTGTAGGTATATATCAATACACATGTTTACCTTACTCCAATTGTCCAATGCATTATTTATATATCGCTGAAAGCAGGGGCAGACCTACATAGACCCATACGGTGGCACGGGGCACCGCTTCATGGTGCTGCCGTAAGGGGAAAAAATTACATTTCATAAAGGTGCCACCGTGTTGTTTTATTCAGTGGCACCATATAATTTTTTTAAACTGGAGCTTTAATGTAAGTTTTTAATTGCAGAGTTGGTAAATCTTGCTCATTTTGTACAAAAACCCCGGGTTCAAGTCCCACCAATGTCAATTTTTTTAATTTTTAGCTTAAATTTTTGTGTTTTTTATATGTTTAAAAAAATTTATAGCCTGGACTCGAACATGGGTACCTTCTGTACAAGGACAAGAAACCAACCAACCAATATATACAAATATTATGAAATATTTCAACAAATTTATTTTTATAGTCAAATCCTGGCACCACTTCTAAAAATTCCCAGACAGAAAACCTTGCACTCAAGATTGATAAACACCCTTATAATGCAACAAAAGCAAAATAACCAAAGCATAATCAACGGAAACCACAAACAACAGCCAACAGGCATGGACTGGAAATAGGAATCACATAAGCAAGTTAGATGCATCAACCTGCTTGATTATATGCCAATAATATTGCTGCAAATCAAAAAACCAACATCTTTGTTTTGGAAGTAACTGGTCCACAATTGCAAACTTGCAACAAAGGGTGCTATAAAGATTAAGGTCAACAAGACCCTCAACATCGAGTAAAATACTACTTACGAATTTCTCTTACAGTCATAGTCAACCTTTCTTTCCTCCTTGTGAGATTTCCTACTGCATAAAATTGAAGGGGTCACTTTTGCATAGTTAAAATTTAAACACTGTTGCTTGGTTTGTCATGATTCTTTTATCTCATGGTTGAAGATTTTTAATTCCTTATACACCTTTAAGATTATTAACATTCCAACTTCTGATCTGTAACGCTTGTCCATGATTTTCAAGTTTCAGCAATGTACATCAAGTGGTCTTTTTAAGCAAGTTGAACAAAAGGGGCACAACTAATTGGAATACACAGCTAAATAGACCGAAGACAAATCATGTACTAAACATAAACAATATGTGAACAAGAATTTAAATTAAACTTGATTTTGCTGTTGTATGTAAACAAGAATTTACACAACAAGAATGCAGTATTCCAATTAGTTGCAGCTGTTGTATCTAAACAAGAATGCAGCTGTTGTATCTAAACAAGAAAGTACAATACACAACACACACACACACAACAATCTGTAGTTGTCCCAAACAAGAATTTACATTAAAAACTTGATTTTGCAACCTGTCCCAAACAAGAATGCAGTCCCAAAAATTATCAAAAACATAAACTGTTTGAAATCAAACATTATGCACAGTCCCAACAGCTGATCATGGTTGAATATATATATATATATATATATATATACATACATACAGACACATGTAACAGGGCTGTTTGTGTTTGGTGATGTGTTTTAAAATCTATACAGAATATGTCTAAAAAATGTCCATGGCAGAATATGTGTTTACTTGCAAATGGGAATATGACGGAATACGTGTTTACTTGCAAATGGAACCAAACGAAAAGAAATTAGATACAGCACCCACCTGGAGAAGATTTCTCAATCGTTCCAAAGGAGCAACAATAGTTCGTGATCTGCAACATAATGTAATGGAAACGGACTTAATAGTGTGAATACGATGAAATGGAAACAGACCCATGAGCCACTGGGATTATGGAAACAGACTTAATCGTGTGAATAAGATGAAATGGAAACAAACCCATGAGCCATGAATTTTTCAAGCATATGAAGTACTTTTCTGGCGGACGTTGACATAACATTTATGTTAACATATGGTAACATTTCATGTTAAGATATGCTAATGTATGTTAATTCATTTTAACTTACGCTAACTTATGTTAACATTTCCATGCTAACATCTTTCCTACCATTCTCATGAAATTTTTATTTCCTACACGATATATATGTATGCACGCACACACAACATTAAATATCAAATAAGATGCAAGTAATGTTATAGTCCAAGCCATATGACAGCTTCCAGCAATTAATTTTACAGGACTTACAGCAAGCTACATGTATTGTACTATGTTTGTGCCAAGGTGTACAAGAGAGAGAGAGAGAGAGAGAGATGCAGATCACCTGAAGCTCTGGTGGAAGGTACCCGTAGACATCATTAATTTAATCCTTAAACCCAAGGCTCAACATTTCATCAGATTCATCCTGTTGAAATTTAACACATTCACATGCATCAATTTACAGATTTACTTCCAAACAGGAAGTGACAAAATTTAGGAATACAAGTTTCATTACTAATTATAAATGGAAAAAAAAGTAGAAAACTCACAAGAATTAGTAATTTAATGGCTCTAGTATATATAGATATATATACACACACACACACACACACACACACAGATACCTGAGATACCAGCAGTGCAGTAGACAAGGGCAAAGATCATACCCCCAAAAGCCAAAGAAATCCCTTGAATACCAACAATACCACACTTTGTGGGAGATTTAACAGCACCCAAAAAGAAGAGAAAGGAAATTAAAATATCATCAGTAGAGGTGGTTGCAGAAATCTAAATTGAAATAGAAATCAATATCATTTTGAAATAGAGAAGCGAGAGGAATAAAAACAAAGATATTTCAATGGTATACCTAATTTGTGTTGGAGAAGTATGAATCCATATGAAATCAAACAGAGATGCGAGAGGAACAAAATCGAACCTATATCAATGGTGTACCTAATTTGTGTTGGAGAGTATGAATCGATATGAAATCAACCAAAGAAGCAAGAGGAACAAAACCAAACCTAAATAGGTTGTATACCTGATTTATGTCTTCATCAACAGAAGCCAGAGGAGCGTATGAGAACAGGAGTGATAACCACAAATAAAACCTGCATCTCGAGAGTATGAATGCATGAATCATTGCTTAGGAAAAAAAGAATCGTCCGCTGCTTGGGAAAAAGTAATCGTCAAAATCGGTGAGGTTGTGATACATAAAAACCACCATTGTCAAGAGAAACGAGGTCTGTCAAGAAGAAAGGTATCTGTATCTAACCCAAAATGGTTTTGGTCGCACATGAGAAAAATTACAGAAGAAGAAAGCCAAAATGGTTTTTGGTCGCATACATCGAATACAGAAGAAGAAAGTAGCGGCCCAAATAGGTAATTACATAAGTCTGATAAGAGAAAGGAGGTTTGACCCAATTAGGATTTGGGGTTTAGGAAACACTTGCATAAAGAGCTTGTACACCATGCTTTATGAGTTGTAATTAAGAGTTTTTTGAAATTCTTGCATAAAGTGGTTGTAACCTATGCTTAAAGTGTTATAATTAAGATAATGACCTAAATGGTTATATATGTAGTATAGATAGAGAGAGAGAGAGGAGCAATCAAATGAAAACCACCTTCATTTGTACAAACCGTACACACCACCCTCATACGTCGATTTCATTGTTTAATCTTATGAATTTTTTTCATGAAATTGTTTCATATAATACTTTTTTTGATGAATTTGTTTCATATATGGTTATGAAATTGTTTCATATAATACTTTTTTTGATGAATTTGTTTCATATATGGTTATGAAATTGTTTCATATAATATTTAATGAAATTTTAATGAAACTGTTTCATDTATTTCTCTAAAATTAAAATAATAAAGATGATAATATCCATGATTAACACCCTCCACAATAAAAATGGTTAATCAACCTCTCATAATTACAAAAAAAAAAATGAACAAAATGAAAATTATGATTGGTTGAATGTGATTTTCACGGTTTGTACAAATCGAGTGGTTTTTATTTGAACGCTCGTGTGTATATATATATATTATTGCATATGATTCTAGAGATTTATCGTCATAAGTCAAACATTAAAAATTGTCGTAATTTTGTTGTGACTCCTTAGAGACTTTGGGGTTGTTTATTTACCTCTTAATAGTTCCATTAAAAGTCAATATCTGAATCGTTAAGAGGTGAATCTTATTTGACAAAAAAAAGTTTGTCTCTTAATGTTTCTAAAACCCTCTGAATGATTTTATATCATGGATCTCCATTAACCATTAAGAGCCATAATTTCATTGTACACAATTACCAAACAATTATATTTCATTTTGCATTATATCATGAGAGCCTCTTAATTATTCTGTACTAAATCATTCAGCAATTACCAAACATTCTCTTAATTCATCTTATGTGATTTAGAATCTTGATTTACTCCTTGACGGGGCAAACATTTTGACCGTTTGGATATGTTGGGTCGGGTTGCATGGGTTGGCTAATTTGCCGATTTTAGGGTAAGGAATTAAAAGGAAAAAGATAAATAAATATCTCCGGGATCTTCCCGCCTTTTTCATGCATTGGATTGGAGGCGATTATCAACTCAAAGAGGTTAGAAAATCTCCTAAATCTACCAGTTTCTTCCATTTTTCACATATATTTTGAATTTCTAGGTTCATTTTGTTATGTTAGATCAATCAATTCGAACTGTAGAATGCATATACAGTTTATGATCACAGAATTCATTGCAGCAAATTGCGGAAAGTAAGATAGAAAAAAGATGCATGGATCAGAGTTTCGTTTGTGATCAATCGATTACTGATAGATTTTACCTGAAGAAAACGATAGAGATTTTCTGCTCAGTAGTAACAGAAAATCAAATTACATCATGGAATCAAGCTATTGATTCCGAATTACGATAATTGCTTGAAAAAACGACGATTGCTCCTCTTTATTGTTTTTCTTCTTCTTCATGACCGTGCTTAATCGATTTCATGGAGCTGTACCTTTATCTTCCTGCAACTTAGACAAAGAGATTTATAAATGTAGAAGAAGCATTAGCATTTTAGAACTATGTTTCCGTTCATTTATGTGTTTATTGCAATCCCTAAAAGTTTTTGGGGAAACGTGTATAGGGCTTAGCAAGTTTTCCATTGTGAAAGTTACAGACGAGCGAAATGTTGGATTTGAGGCATTTTAAGCTGCATTGTTTAGTTGCTTTTGCTAGAGCAAGCTATGGTACTATTTCAAACTTATGTCTCTATCCTGTTTTGCTTTCTAAGCAACAACAATTGTTCAGAATAGGAGAGGAGATGAAGTGTAGGTGAAACAAAAAGGAACAAATGTCATGATTTGGACTTGCATGGAGGAACACATGACTGAGAAATGTAGAAACTGGCTGGTTCTTTTAAATTCAAGTTTCTAACCTTGGTGAAAGTGGCTGAATATGAACATTTTCATGACTGGGTGAGTTTCTAGTCTGCACTGCTAGACAACTTATGCTTGTTTGTTCTTACAACTCAGATGGAAAATTATGGATGTTGTTAGAGTCCCATATTATTAACTAGAGTTGGACCATTTCTCCTTAATACATGTTGGAACCTCTTTTCCCTCCTCAACAGCTCTTTTCAAGAGTAATACATGGGGATTCCACCTATTCTTACAGATGTTATTATTAGCTATACTAATTACTCGAGGTGCTTACTGGATTCCATGTTACCTTGGTTATGCCCCCTTAGTGGTGGTATAATTGGGGAAAGGAACTTGACCACTCTCGATGATCTTCAAATCCTCTAGGAGGATTTCATAATGCCTTTTCACTTCCTCTGCAGTCTTGTCACCAACGGCCTTGGCGATATTGTGCCAGCGATCAGGGGTGTCCTTGTCAAACACAGCCAGAGCCTCTTCAAAGTCCTTGTTCTGCTTGGCAGTCCATGAACCTGACCCACGTGAAGACATTGAGCTAGATGCCATGCATACACTCTCAAAAAATTTAAGGCAAAAGTATGGGGTTAAATTGATGCCTTCTTATGCAAGGAAAAATAGTGGAAAGTGGAGAGAACAGAGAAAGCTAGGCACAACATATATAGAAATGTATGGCAAAAGGTGTCAATGTGTCTTTATATCTCCGGAATACAAGGGTAAAGTGGGGTCGTGCTAGTTGGCCTGTAAAGCTTGCCCAAAGAGAATAATATTAAATGACTTGGATCCTTAAGCACCACAAAATGAGCAGAAATATCCCCCCTTTGGTGGAAAAATGAATATCGTGGAATTATTCTCTAAGAGCCCTTGACGAGAAAAGGGGGATTTCAACTTATATTGAGGAGAAATGGTCTAAGTCTAGCCGATGTAGGACTCTTGAATGCCCCCTCAAACATAGGCTAAATGGGCATTTATTGTCTCAGGGTGTTTGAGATACCATGTGAGAATATGTGAAACCCATCAAATTACTCTCCAAAAGAGCCCTTGAAAAGAGAAGGAGGTTCCAACATATATTGAGGAGAAATGGTCAAAGTTTAGTCGATGTAGACTCTACAATCCCCATAATCCCATAACTCGGTCAACATCTTATTTTTGGCAACATTCCCCCGGTTTGTTTAAAGTTCTTACAACTCGATATAGAAGATGGAAAATCGGGTCTTATTATTTGAACCAAGTTTGGGATCAAATCAAAGACTTGGAAATGTAAAAATGAAGTATTTGATGTTGATGTATGTAAGTATGAAATTGGTAGGAAGGTTGAATTTACTTATACAAAGGGTTATTTAGCCTCACCCTTGGTATATGAAATCCATACATCAACCACACTCATGATTTGGTTTGTTGACATATACTATTTAATCTTTAATTAGGTGAATCAAGTTAGTCAGGGGCTCAGGGCCTCATAAGAAAAGCATGCCAATTGAAGGAAACGAAGGGATAATCACTAAACTAACCAAATTTGGAGGGGTCTTTTTGCAAAAATAGCCAACTTTTTCGACATTTGCACAAAATAGCTTCACAGTTGGCCTTTGCGAGCTCCACTTTTTCAACTTTTCAGGTACACATCTTGACCATTTTTAATACAAAGAATATACTAGATTATTATAATACAAAAAGCATACTTCTAGTTTTAGAATAATTTAATACAAAAAAAAACACACTTCTATAGTTCGCAAAGTGGTGTTTTGCTAGTTGCTTCTTATTCTGCTAGCTCGAAAAACCTTAGGATTTTGCTAGTGGCTTTTTATTTTACTAGCTAATCGTTCGAGGCATTTCTTGGCTTAATACTAAATTACTAATATAAATCAAAAGCTTACCTGATGTTGGTTTTATGGTGGGGACCAGCTCGTAAAAAACGGGGAACCCGCAAATACTTCCCGAAAAGTATTTTGTTATTGGACCGCTAAAAATTTGGCTGTTTTATGATTATTCCAAACCAAAATCTGTCTTCAAGTACCAAGACTAGTTTGTAATCTTGAAAATAAGGTGGGATTAGCCAACTGATCAAGCGACCTTACCACAAAGGTTCCAAGATACCGTGTTTACCGGTCATCAGTTCACTAGAAAAGGAAAAAAAAAAACCTTTTAATAAGAGATCGATGTACCTTGTCCCGAATAGAAGTCTAATTTTGTAGCTGGCCAGCTGTGTCCGTACAATGATTGGAGAAAAAGGAACCTTGGTCAATTTGTGGTTAAATCTTGCGATTGATAGGAGTGTTTATTTAGCAATTGGTAGGAGAGTTCATTTAAATAACCTGTTTAGAATCCCATTATGATTGTTTCCACTGTGTAACAATTTGGCTTTTATGCTCCTTTCTTTTATTTGCATGCAGTAAAAATCGCTAGTATTTCAATTTCTTTCCTTTAGAGTCTCGTATCAGCTAAACTTTGTGCATTTCTCCTTGTGTATGTTGGACTCTTCTATTTTCTAAAGGGCTCTTTTGAGGATTATTCTAAAGCGATTCCACATATCTCGCATTTTCAAGCAATTGTTCGTTTTCTGCGTTACGAATGATTGACTACCATTTTTACAGCTACAATGTGAACTGTTATCTTCTAACAAAACATTGAAGCAAAGCTTTTATTTGGAGACAAGTGTGAACTAGCTGGTAACGGACAGTTGGAAAAAATACATGATTTGTTAGAGTCATACATTGGCTAGAGTTGGACCATACAACTCCCTTTCTTCGGCTCTTTTCGAGAGTAATAAGGGGGTTTCACATATTCTCATATGGTATTAGAGTCGGTCAAGGTCGACCACTTTAGGAACTTGACTCTCTAGGACAATCTGTACTCGTCTAGCCCCCTCACCCGTCTTACCCTCTTTCGACACGGAAAATCTGTGTCCGTCTAGTCATTGTTAGAGGGGTTTGTTAGAATCACACATCGGCTAAACTTGGATCATTTCACCTTTGTATATGTTAGGAACCTCCCGTCTCGAAAGACTATTTGGAAGAGTAATATATATGGGGGTTTCACATATTCCCACATGATCATGACTCTAACCACTTGGATTAGTATTATATGGTACGAGTGATAGCATATACACTTCAAAACTCAGTTTTAAGAATTTCATGCTATGCCTGTGGTTTTCTAGAAACACTTTATTGCTTAATTATTACTCAAGCTTATGTGGTTATAAACTAGAGATTTGTCTTTAATCCATTACAATTGAACATGATTGTTTCGAGTAGGTTCTCTACTAAGATGTTAGAGTCCTACGTTGGTTAGACTTGGACCAATTATCTTATATGATGTTGTCTTCTCTTCTCAATGGCTCTTTTGTAGAGTAATCTAATTGGGTTCTATATATCTCATATGTGTGTGTGTATATATATAGAGAGAGAGGGAGGTTCAGGAAAACCCCCTAAAAAATGAAAAACTGAGGAACACCATGGTAAATAGTAATCATTCATCTAGACGGTATGTACATGTGTATTAAAGTAATTGAAGCTGTTTTTTGGTTTTTCTACGCGTGTACATGTTATTAAAGTAATTGAAGCTGTTTTTTGGTTTTTATGCACGTGTACATGTTATGCACATGTGCATACCGGAACAAATTGTTTACAAATTACTTGTATGCATATGTGTATATCGTCGAGATGAACGATTATCGGGGTGTTTCTTAGTTTTTTTATTTTTTTTGCGGTTCTCGGTGAATCTGACATGATATATATATGAATCCTAATCAAGAGGAAGGATTGTGTGAGCAAGGAAATTGGATGAACGAAATGTGTGATAATTGGTTTGGATAATATGTTGCAGACAATGATACCACGTGATTTCTCAATAATGGACCTGTAACTTTCATGGTGACAAAACGTATTGCTTTTAAGGTAACCCACCTATCTCATAATTTTGCTGTCTAAATTGTTTATTGGCTTTTTCTGTCCAGCTGTACCGACAATTTTGTTCTTGAGCGTTGGTAGTATTAAGAGGTTGTACGTGCAGGTCCTACCTATGTGATATTTTCTTCGTTTTAATTTCCCTTTTAACGTTTAAGCCTCGTATAGACTTAAGACTCTTCTTATTGTTGAAATGCTGATGGTCATGCATGTAGAATGGCACCATAGTGTAAGAACAAAGGTTTCTTTTCCCAAACTAGTTGCGATGGCTTTGCAAACCTAAAACTGAAGCCCATTTGTGACCATTTATTAGAAGTATTAAATGGATGCTGCGATGCAAATGAAAACCAAAGAGAGGTTAGTCCTCCAATTTTCGGAATTTTGGACATTCATCACTACAACAAAACATGCCTTTTAGGACGCTCAACCATCCTTAGACATTCTAATAGAGTACTTTTTAACATGACTTGAAAGTTTTAGGGCCAATCACTGTGTTGTATACAATGGTGTTACAATAAGTTGTCAAAACAAATTTACGCCACCTAATAACTTATATTGACGAAGTTGGGGAAACTAATAGGACACAAGAAATTTTTAAAGTTACTCTCTAAAAGAAAGACTAATATAATACTTTTCAAAAATGTCATATAAAAAGACTAATAAGACAACATATTTTATGTATCATACTAGATTATCCAACTCCGTTGATAATACTTGTTAAGTCATTTATGTCTTGGCATCCCAGCAACTTATTATAACACTATTATATACGACTCAAAAATTGTATGTCTTGTAAACTTAATCCTTTTAAGTACTCCATTATGTTGATCAAGAATGGTTAGATGTCTTGAAACTTATTTTTTTCATTTCTGATAAAGCAAATATAAAAAGGGGGAAAAGAACAACCTCATTTTCCATTATTCTGGACAAATTCAGATCTTATTATTATTTTTTGATTCCCTCTTAGGGATGATCGTAAATGATACTGTACAGTACGTCTGTACCTTTTACTTGATTTTCATGAAGATTTATACTGATATACTTGTTGATATATCTGGTAAGCAATGGAACCCATTTATGTACATACCCCTACTACTACAAGAATCTTTTTCATTTTCTGTCTATTTGGGGTTAAGTGGGGCTTGCATTAATGTTTAAGGGTCTTGCTACATGTATCTTTGTTTATACCAGATTAAAGTCAAATCATACATTAAAAATGTAAAAAACAAGTGTTAATGTTGATGTGTGCGAGGAGGAAATTAGTAGGTAGAAGTACATTTAGCCTAACGCTTACCCCTAATGTTTATGATTGTGCAGTTATTTAATATATATTGCCTTCTTTATAAATCTTTGCGTTAAAGCTTCTGCATTTTTAGACTTGAAAACTTGTACCTATTTTCCTCCTTCCCTTCTTATGATTCTCTCTCTGTGTCTTCTCTCCCAGGTTGATATAATCAAAGTTGATTTGCTGATGAGGTGAGGATATGAAGGCACCTGCTTCATATAAGGTACATGAGAATATTATATTCCTTCATCTTTTGCATGTCTGTACCTTCAAATACATCCATGGTTTGTGTATAGGATAGAATAACACTTGTATATCATAATATTTCTTCATAAATGGTCAAAGTCTAACCAATATGAGACTCCAACATAAATAATCTGCTTAACTCTTTAGAGTAGAAAGAGAATCAGAGACTTTACGTAGTGGT